AGTCAGCAAAGCTATGAAGTGCTTGCATGAACATGAATTATGAAAATTTCAACCTATATTCATTTTATAATCATATTTTGGAAAAATTTTTCTTCTTTCTGTAAAATCTCTGTTATCCCAGATTTTGTGCACAAAAAGTGATAGATTATGCTGCAAAGGTAGAGATCATTAGAAAAATTAGAGCTCAGAAACAAAGGAGTTAAATAACTAAAATATGATTTAATTCCAAAGTTTCCTCTCTATTTGTACTCTGCATTTACCTACTTCACTGCTAAGAATGTTCTTTTTTATTATTATTATTATTTCAGCATATTATGGGGGTACAAATGTTTAGGTTACATATATTGTCCTTGCCTCACCCAAGTCAGAGCTTCAAGCATGTCCATCCCCCAGCTAAGAATGTTCTTCAAGCAACAAAATATTATTCTTGCAACATGAGGCCCATTGCCCAAAGAAAGCAAGAATTGCCAAGGCTTCTGTAGAAATAGCCAAGCTAAGACTTTCTCGTGATTTTCTAATACAGGGTGATAATGTTATTAAAATGAACCAAGTGTTACAGAAACATCAATTTGTAATGCTAAAGAATCTCAGAATCCAAAGGTTTCCACTGAGCAGTTCAAGAGCAACAGTGTTGAGATCACAAACTCCCCCCCAGGCCAAAGTGAGAAGCTGCTGTGCACATTCATTCCTGCCGCCCGTGTCCAAGGTGAGCAAGCAGGTAGAAAGAACTGATCACTTTTTGTAAGGGCCATTGCTTAGGAGACATTTAAAAACCTTTATTTCTGTCCCATTTTCAAATATAAAATCTTAAGTCCCAAAAAGCCAAATTAGTAACATTCCAGTGAAAACTAAATTATCAGAGATTCTGGTCTCAGCAGAAGCCACCCTACAGTCTGGGCCACAAAATATATTCCCCTGAAACTCCAGCTTCTTTTATCAACACAGACGCATTCGGCTGACCAGCAGCTCTCAACTATATATAGCAAGACGCTTTCTGTTTGATCAGTGAGTCTGTGCTGTTTTGCACACAGTAGAATATGATACCCTAGGAGGTCATGAAATCAATCTAATGCACTGCAACTAGCTTTTCTTAAAATTACGTAAAGTAAAATGAAAATACAAGAGCACATCACAACAGTGAGGCCAGTACTGTTTCACGAAATTTCTTTTTTCAATTTTATATGTGTATGTTTGTAAATACTGGGTTGTAATGAAAAGTGTACCTTTTACTTTGGGTCATGATTAAAAGGATTTGAAAGCCACTGGTCTAGAAACTATTAAGCATTCTGTGTTCAACTGCTGGTGGGAGTGGACATTGGTATAACCTCTGTTAACAATACCAATTATCATTTAAATTCTTGATCCCCCCAAAACAATCACAGGTATACAAAAAAAAAAGGAAGGTACTAAAGTACTAGAATGTTTTCTATAATGTCCTTTATAATAATGGAAAAAATTGACATAACTTGAAGGACTGGTTGAATAAATTATGATACACCTACATGATAAATGGTACCAAGCCATTAAAACTACTTCAAAGTAAAGTTGTA